ATTCACATACCACCTTTATGCCTAATTATTTCCAAATATATAAGTAAGCCCAGATTTCTCTTCTGTTCTTCAGATCCTGATGCATAATACTTATATTATCCATTCCTCCAGCTGGTTTTTACTGAGTAGTCACTGAAAACCCGGGCTTAAACTAGTCTAGACAAACAGGACCGGCCTTTGGTCCTCATGGAACTTACAGTTTAGTGAAGCAGGAAGAAAATAAAAATGTAAATAAAGAAAATATTTACAGCCAATGGTAACTTTAGTCAAAGAAATATACTGATGTAGTAATGTTGGGTCGTGTGATAGAAGAGGAAAGATTTGGCTACTTTAGATGAAGCAAACAAAGAAGATCTTTTCGAAGAATGATATTTGAGATCTGAGAGGTAAGATTTGAAAGAGTGAAAGGAACTGAGAACAGCAAATACAAAGGTTCTGAGGCAAGGAAGAGAAATGTGAGATCTAGAAACTGTCAAAATCACTGTGGTTGGAGCACTATGAGTGAGAGAGAGAATGGCAAGAGATAAGATTGATGAGACAGGGAATAACTAGACCACTTACTTAGGTCTTAACCTAGGCAAGGGGGTTTGAGTACAATGAGAAGAAATAGGAATTTTAAGCAGATCCAGTTCTATGGGATATATGATGGAATGAGTCCATAGGTAAATCCATTTTTCTCATGTCTCCCACTCCAAATTGCTGGTTCTCCAATTCTTCCTGCCTTTCTGAATAGCAGTATCATCCACAAATTGTTAAAAGTGCAGGCTTTGTAGTTAGCCAGGTTTATTTGACTCCTGGCTCTACTGCTGACTAGCAAAGAAGATCTTGGAAGTGTTAGTCCCTCTGTCTGATCTCCAGATTTCTCACTTTTAAAGTAGAAATTGTGGTGAGGATTAAATTGTTTAGCACCTGGTACATGGTAGTTGTGATCATTATTTTATTTAAACAATGAAACTGGATCCTCTGAGGTATTTCTAACTCTTGTTTCTTATTTCTGAAATGAGCTTTGCAAATCTTTTCCTGGCCAGCAGTTTAGAATAAAGATTCTACTGCAGCGTGGGGTCCTTGTTATACGGCAGAACACTTTACCAGCTGGGTTGCACACTGAGGGCTTAATACATGAGGAACGCTTTTGGGATTAACTTTACTCTCCTTTCTTCCTAAATTGGCTTGAGACTTTTCTGTTTCTAGTCTTTGAATTAGCTAGATTACTTATGACTAGACTTTAAGTGCAAACCCTTACTCTAAGTCAAAACATTCACTAATCATCAGATACCAGGTCTAGGCATCTAAGTACAGTATTGTTTTTTCATTGTATATCCTTCAGAATGATAGTTCCCAAAAGTTTCTGTAAAAACCTGATTTAATGGGGCTACTACATATTGTCTCCCTCTCTAGGAGACTAACAGTTGTGGTGAACAACTAAGGCTGCGCGGTGGTGTTTAGGGAACCTGTTCCATGGTGTTTAGTCAGTGTTTCTGAACAGATTTTACCATAGAACTCTTTTTGTCCTCCTCCCCCATATGTATTAAATGGTCCCTCCAGTTTAGGAAACCCCCTTTCAGGCTGATTTCTCACTCTCCTGACTCTCAAATTCCTTGCTCCTTTATTCCTGGTGCCCTCAGCCATGGTCCAGTAGCATCCATGTCCCTATCCCAGCTTTTTCTTAATCCTACCTGTTTATCATATTCCAGTATATTCTGCTTACTAGCTTTTCCCTGCCACCCTCAGTTATGTCTCATCTTTGTTTATGTCTCTTCTGGCCTCCAGGTTTATTGGTAACATTAAATGTTTTCATTTTTATGGTCATCCTCTAATATCCCTATTTTCTGGGTTATATTAATGTCTCAAAAGTTCTCTTTCTTTGTGACCTAGGAGAAATGTTGTCTGCAGAAAACTAGAGATGCTTAGCATTAAATTTAGTTTTAGCTCCTTCTTCTTGTCCCAGTCAGGCACCCTTTCTACATTAGCCTTAACTCAACATTTGAGTGCCAGGGAGTTAATCAGCTTGGAGGGCAGCCCCCTTCATTTTTTATGGCTCCAATTTTTAGGAAATTCTTTTTTTGTTTTTAAGAGACAGGGTCTTGTTGTTTTGCCCAGGCTGGTCTTGAGTTCCTGAGCTCAAGGGATTCTCCTGTCTCAGCCTCCCAAAATACTGGGATTACAGATGTGAGCCATAGTGTGCAGCCTTGGAAATTCTTTCTTGTATTGAAACCAAACATGCCTCTCTATCATTGGTGAACTTACTTTAGTCCTTTTGCATTAAGTTTTTGTCATGTCTTTTCTATACCGTCTCTTTTTCGGAACAACTCTATATATGCTATTGTTTTCTGACATTTCAATATTCTTTTTGAATTTAATTAATTTTTTATTATACTTTAAGTTCTGGGGTACCTGTGCAGATTGTGCAGGATTGTTACCTAGGAGGTATACACATGCCATGGTGGTTTGCTGCATCCATCCCCTCATCATCTACACTATTGTTTTTTACCCATTTTAAACTAGTATATACGATGAGAAAGCTCTTTTATTAGTTAATAGATGTTAGCAAAACTCCATCCTCACTTAAATCCTCTTTAAATCCTCTCTGCCAAAAGAGCATTCAATTTGGTTTGGATTGCAACTGGTGATACCACCATCTATATGGCTAGGAGAAATACTTGACTATCCTTGCAAGGCAGCAAGTTGAAGGTGTAAAAAACAGATTTTACCATAGACCTCTTTTTATCTGCCCCCACCCTCCATAAAATATGTATTAAACTGTCCCTCCACTTTGAAAAACTTCATTTCAGGCTGAGGGAAAGATGGCAGAGGCTGGATCAGGAAATAGAAGTTAGCCACTCAGTGTAACTCTGGGAAAATTTTGAATTGGTTGAAACTTGTTTTGACACTCTTACTTGCTCTTTCTGGACTTCTTTTCCCAGTGAATGGATTCCTGTCCTGTTTTTTTTTCCACTTAATATACCCAGAATATCTTGCTTTTTTCCTCAATTAAAATTTGCTTTCAGAAAAAGATTTGGTTTTTAACTACTTGTATCTTTGTTGAGAATGTAACATACTGTAATTCTCAAGTATATATACACTTTAAGCACAGTATTGGTTAGTTACTCAGAGTCACTAACTATGGGTTGAAAGTCATTGTTCTCTTGTGTGGAAGGAATTTTAAGCTTCAACAACCAGGCGAGAGTGATTTTGGAGGGCTGGAAAAGGGATTTATATTGGTTTTCCTAAAAATATACAAATATTCCTGCTGCCTATTTTCTTTCATTTAAGTCTTGCCTGCAAATTTCCCTAAATATTCTGTTCCCTTAAATAAATTCTGTAATGCATCCTAAGTATTCTCCCATGCAGTGTTACTCAAACTTATCAATATACTTTTGGTATCAAAGGAGAGTGAATGCATAAAGCCCTGGGATCTGATGGTGTGGCTTTACAGAACAGTGCTCAGAATGAATCTGATGCCTTTGTGAAATTGTTTCCTCTTCTTGCAAACTAAAAATCAATTTAATCCAAAAGATAGATGCAAATGGAAAATTATTGTGAAAGTCATATCCATACAGGGCAGTAATGAAGTCATAGCATTAATCTAGAGAGTAACTAATCCTTTTTTGATGAATGACATGTAAATAAGTGCATTCCAAACAGATGTTTTTATGTACCACATGTCCAGCTTTTATTGTTTTGAGGTCACTTCAATACTGGAACATTTTATAAATGAAGCTCTCCTATACAATGTAGACTGTCACACAGAGAGAGACAGTAACTCTAAATTCATCACCAAATTTAGCCCAAGAGAATATCCTTCTTAACTAGGGATTCTGTGAATACACAACTTAATATTTCATTTTGATATACAGTCAAGGATCCTGAAGAAAAATGAATATAATTTATACAAAGTCACCTTCATGCAAATGGCAATTTTGGATGAAAGTGGGAACGCCTATTTCCTAGTCATAGTTTCTTCATTTTTCCTGGTAGTCCTTGGAGTTCTGACATAGGATACTAATGGTAAAAATTAATATTGGATGATAATAAATACATTCTTGTGATTTGTCATTTCCCTTTTCAATTGCTTTGTGAGATCTTTATGATTGTGACCACTACAAAACTATCCCTAAAGTTATTTCAGTCTATATTATCTCTGCATGTAGGTTGGTACAGTACTATATAATTTTACTGCACCTTTTCAACTGATGACAATTATTATTTAAGACTTTATTAAAGTTTATCTCAATATAATTAAGATACTATTGTTGAAAACGTGATCACTTTCAAACATTTTAATACTTACATATTGAGTCTATGTTGTACAGCATACAGTACCTAAAGACAAAATGCTTAAAATGAAAGTTTTAAAGAAATACAGTTTAAAATTCACATGATTAAAATGTGTAACTCCACTGTCCAAAAGAAAACTGCATATATTTGCAGACTAAAACATGTGTTATTGTTTCCACTGTTTGATGATAATTATTAGCCAATGGTTTAATGAATCAACAATTAATTAGTGAACACCTATAATCTGCAAACCTGGGAATCCAGGCTTGGAGAGGTAGTAGAGGTTGTAATCAACAGTTAGGAAGCACTGATTATGTTTTATATGTCCTGGCTATTTGTTTAAATGATTTGTTTATCTTGATAAGTGACATATTCTTCCCTGTTGACTTTGGGCTTGGCCATAAAACTTGCTTCAATGATTGGAAAATGGGCAGGAATGAAAGTGTGCCAGTGAGCTGAGGCATTAAGAGACTTTGTATCCATTTGCTCTCTTACTCCAATTCCTCAGCTCAGCACTGGCTATTACTTCAGCCTGGTTTTAGAATAATAAAACACATGGAGCCCCAGCTGAGTGCTGGAGTGCAAGAATTATTTGTTCTTGGAAAGTTTTGAGATATTGTGGTTGTTTGATGCAATCAGTATAAGCTTAGAAAAGTTTTATATGTGTACATTTAAGTTTTATATCCATTATATGAGTAAGATATAGTATTCTCATTTCGCAGATAAGGAAATTAAGGAGTCAAAGGGGTTCAGCATTTTTTCCGTAGTCACATTACTGGGAAGTGGCAGATCTAACCAGAATATTAAAATATTTACACTGCACCCTGCTTGGCTAGGATAAGTATGGAACAATGGTGAGACCCCTGCCTGAAAGTCAGAAAACCCATGTTCTAGTCTTAGAGAGATCATTGAGTCTTTTACTCTAGGAAAGGCGTATAGATTGAAGTCTCTGTTGGGGTCATAATTTCCTCTCAAGCCTCCTGTTGTTTCTGATTAGTAGACTGTGCATACAATTGACATTTACTGAGGATTACTTTAAGTAAGATTGTCCATAGTAAATATTAGCTGTGGGACTCTAATTTCTTTCAGAGGTGGTGCTATTACTTTTCAATATAATGGGAATGAAAAGAAAGCATTAACTTTCAATTCTCAAAAGATTTATATAATTTGTGAGTCATATACTGTAAGTAATCAGATGTTCAGAAACACTTAAAGAAGCTCCAGGGATAACGCCAGCTTCTACTCTGGAGTCGGAGTTAATGCACTTCCCATGCAGAATGAGCTGAGCAGTCAGAGTGCTTATCTGAGTAATTGAGGCAAAACTTGTGGGTTTTAAAAATATGCCTGAATTTCGTAGATAATTATACCAACTCTTATTTCACTGGAGACTTACAGAATGACCCTATAGTCATAGATTAACTATGACTAACTTAAACTTTCAGAAGAATGAATCCATGCATATAAATGAGGATGTGGTATAAATTAAGTTTCCTTTGGGTCATGATTCACCTTTTCTATCTTCTCTTTTCCACAAGTATTATTTTTCTTTTATGAATCATCATACACTCACAGCAAGGAAGGCATTACAAAATCACTAGTGTCATCAAATCTTATTCTTGATACCCTACAATCAGGCTGTTTTGTGAGCTTCAGTTTGACTTATGATTCCCCCCACCACCAAAAGAAGTATCAGGTTTTCTCCTATAATCTCTCTATTCTACATGAGAATAGGAAGGCCGCTCTAGGTTATCAACACACTGTTGGTGCCTAAGAATTGCCTCTGAAACAACTGTGGTGGGAATTTTAAGTAGATTATCTCCTTTGAACTTCACAGCATGTTTAGATGCTATGGCTTGGCCAAATACATAATTTCCCTCTGTGCGCAGGGTACCAGGATTCACATCTACGTTGCCTGACTTTGAAGCCCATGCTTTTCCTACAGCTCCATGCTTCTAAGAGGTATTCTGAAGCAAAGTGCAAGGCTTTCTAGTTAAGTCAAGTCCGTGGTTGAGAGGGATTGTACAATGAGCTGTGTGAGGACCTGAGAGCTGAGAAATGGAGATTATTAGGGAAGAACCAAGGGAAGGATGAGAAGTGTTCAGGAGAAGAAGTGTGATGGGGGGAGATGAGAAAGCCATGATTTTTTTCTGCGCTGTAATTTTACCAAGAAAAACTCCTGACTATAAGATTATTTTTTGACAGCAAATTTAAACTTTGTATGTTTATTCACATGGTGATCATTCTTGTTTATGATTATGAAGTTTATTTTTAAGAGGATACTCATAAAACTTGATATCATGAGGTAGTCTTTAATGTTCCACAAATTTCTTTTTTGGAGCCTCCCCTCCCCTTATACTTGTGACCTCTAATCCTACCTTCCAAAAGACTTTATCATTCTTATTGAACATCTACCATGAAGATAGCACCCTTGACCTTGATCCCACCACTTTCTCTCTACATGACTCTCTTCTCCCCAGATAGGTCTCTGTAGTCCTGGCCTTTCCATTTTCTGACTTCTCTGCAAAATTTGCCAGTTACATGTTCCATTTCTTTATGGCCCTAAAGAGATCCATACAAATACTCTGTGTCAATGGTTAAGTATTTTTTCTCTGTGGATAACATATTTGTACTTGGCAAGGGGACTTCTGAATAAAATGTTTTTAGGTTTCATGAAAATAACTTATGACCTATTAGATTCATAGTATTTTAAAGCTGAAAGCAAATTAAGAAGAAATTCTGGTATAATTTCATTATTTTTCCAAATAGAAAAATGAGGCCAAGAGGCATTCCTGGAATTTCTTAAATCACACTTTCAAGATAGTGAAATTATTCCTTCAATTATGCTTCAGAAATGGGCAAAAAAGAAAGAAAGAAAGAAAAAAAAGTACAGAAATAAATGATTTGATTGAAGCTACACAGAAGATCAAAAGCCCAACTGGAATGGGTTGCCTTTTACCTACCTGCCTTCTAATTTTGAAAGTAGTGTTTATAATATCCACAAGATCATTTTTCATGAAGAAAACACATTAAGCTACAGACCTCCTTAATTTTGCTTCTAAAACTTGTCTGTCTTTTCAAATTCTGTTAAATTGAAATTTTTATGGATGTCTGAACCCTGAAAGTAGCAGTGGTTGAGCTGAAGGGCGAGCAGAGTTAGAGAAAAAGCCCTCTTAGGGCTTAGTTGCTTTTATTTTAGAAGTCACCCTTCTCTGTTTTGGCATTATACTGGCAATGATGTGATTGAAAAGAAAATTAAGAACCATCTACTGTCAGTGTCAAATTAGTCACTTTTGTAAATAAGAAAAGCTTTTCAATCAGGAACTTGAAAGGCCATCTGGATTTTATAGTTTGCTCAAACAAAAATAAATACTAAATACTGTAAACCAATCATTTCTAAATTAGCTGTAGTAATAAAATACGCTACTTATGAAAATTACTTTCCTCTGTAGGCCAAGGTTGGTAACAAAACAAAGTAAAACAAAACAAAAAAAACAATTACTTTCCATTTCCTAGCCGAATGAGATTACTAAATGTATTAGGTGTCTTTGCTTTTTTCTATACTGAACAAGAATCTTGAAATCCAAAAGATTTTATGAGCAATTCATAACCATGGTAAAGGAATTCATGTGAGTAGTTATATGAGTTTTGATTGGTTATTTACCATTTATTCTTAAAAAAGTACAAATTTTTATTATAAAAATAACTTAGTGAGGTTAAATTAGTCTAATTGATTGACTTTTTTTCTTCTTATCCAATCACAAATGATAACTCTTACCAGTTTTTGTAGGTTGAGATTTTGTCTTTTGTCTTGACATGGTGTTTAATATCTAATTTCTTATGAAATTTCAGATTAGACATCTGATTATATTTCATGATGTATGATATAAAAGTTGTAGCTATGTCATATGAGCTTGTTATAATTGTAGGTCTCAAAGCTAAATATTCACTACTTTAATTATGTTTGCTTTTATAAAATAAAAAGGACATTTATTATTTTCCAGGTGTTGTGTTGAAAGCATTACATGCATTATCTATTTAGTTTCCACACAAATCAACAACAAAGTAAACACAGTCATTACTCCCATTTTAAAGACAAGGAAACTGGGATTTGGAGGGTTGAGGAACTTGCCCATGGTCCATAGTTATCAAGGAGGAACTGGAACATAAATCTAGGTTTGCCTAACATCAAAACCTGTGTGCACATCCATTGTGCCATACTACTTGATGAAGAAGAAAAATGCTGAAGAAACTAGGTGAGGACCAATGCATGGAAGCTGGGCAGAGAGGAAATCTGAAGTAGCATCTGATGCTCGCTTTTATTACCAGTCCCAACTCAAAACAGCACTCTTTGCTGTTGCTAATATTCTCTTGCAAGAGTTGGATAAACTTTTAAGAGTGGATAAACTTGTGGCTGGTTGGAAGTAAAATGAAAGACTTTCTCTCATCACTGACATCCAAACATTGAAAAGTTCTGTTGATTCTTTCTTCTAAACGTTTCTAATATCCTTTTCTGTCATCCTCACTCCCACTGACTTAGTTATAAGTTTCTTCTGTATGTCTCATCTAATATCCTACTTGTCTCTCTGTCTGTTCATTCTTTCTATTCATTCTACAATATCCTTCCATTATTGAGTTAAATTAGCTTGTGGATCCATAGGAGAGACAACATGTAAATAGGCAATTACAAAGCAATGCAGTACATCCCTGAGCTATTTGTTTCTATGTAAGCATAGAGAGGTCAGATTTCAAGGAAGGCCAAGGCAAAAAGTGACATTTATTGGAGGTGCTGCTTACTAATGTTGGAAATAAAAATAAACATTCTAGAGACAATTTCACTACTACTAATAGTTACTGAGTTATTCCTGTGTGTCAGGCACTGTTTTATTTATTTATTTTTGCATTTTAGGTTTTGGGGTACATGTGAAGAACATGCAAGATTGTTGCATAGGTATACACGTGGCAATGTGATTTGCTGCCTTCCTCCCCCTTACCTATATCTGGCATTTCTCCCCATGCCATCCTCCCCCAACTCCCCACCCCCTGCTGTCCCTCCCCTATTTCCCCCCAAC